AAAAATTGGATGCTGCGCGTGTGAAAGTGGCAGATCAGCGCGCCAACGAGAACATCTCGGGAGGCCAGAATGCTTCGTAGGCAGCAGCAAATGGGAATTTTGGAAACTTGCGCAATGACTGATGAACTATTATATGGCCCAGAAATTGACGACTCGGTTTAATTAATTCAATAATTCGAATTTCTGTACGTAAATCCAATGTGAAGCTTTAAACGCGTTTTTCTCAAAACTATGTTTTCTGAAACGGCGACCACTGTAACTCAAAAACCGCTTAATAGATTTTAATGAAATTTATACAGCTTTTAGAATACATAATAAACTCGGGCCTAATCGAAGGATTTTCTTTTTTTCAAAAATTTCAATTTTTTTAAGACCAATTAACTGTTGATTTTTTACCCAAAAATCTAGAAATTTTATTTCTGATGCTGCCATTTTGTTAATTTTTGCAAGAAAAAGAAAATCTTCGATTAGGCCCAGGATTATCTATTTATAAAACTATTTTTTTTATTTGATTGATTTTAGATGAATCTCTAAGAAGTTATGATGGTCACCGCCAGGAGTGTTTTTTGAAACAGGGTCAACAAAAACAGCTATAACTTTGGAAATATTAATTTTTTTTCTTGAAATTTTTGTTACTTCAAGTCAAAACATTGTATAATGATGCCGTATTAATATTTTTGTAAACAAACATCGTTTAATAACAAAAAAACAATACTGAAAATTCTCATTTTTTCGTACCTCCAAGTACCCCTAACTCCTCAAGGCAAGATGGTACTTCTAGAAATATTAAGTAATATTACATACCAAGTTCTTGGTTTAACTTTTGAATATCATTTTCAAACAGCTGCAACCGTTCCTTGAGTGCGGCATTTGATTCTTCTAATGCCCGGTTATCGCGACATTTTCCTAGCAGACGTCTGTTACGATCTGCATGTAATTCTCTGCGATGCCTCTCAAATTGCAGTTCTATGTGCAACAATTGTAATTGTTCCCGTAAAGACCTGATCTCAGCATTTTCATTATACCTATCATCAGATCCGTGCGATTTTTGTCTATTAATACAGCATTGTATGTATTGGTCCAGCAGATCAGTAGGTGATTGTTTTATGGTATCTTTAGCACTATTCCGTTTGCTTGAACAATTATCACCAAAGGGGAATAATCCAATGTAGAGAAGCTCAAATGGCTGTGGCCAGAATGATACTGTTTGTGTAGAATTATTTTGGACCGAACGAGCAACTATTGGTTTTTGTGATTCTTCCTTTTTCACTTCTTTCTCCTGAAAGCAGGAAACAAATTATAGACAAATTTAGAAACTGTATTATTTTTAAATAATTGTCAATTTAATAACCTCCGGTGCATCAACTACTTCTTCTATCTTAGGAACTTTGACAATATCTAAATGAGTGCAGTTTTACGCACAAAATTTGGACAAGATGCAGTTCTTCGCAAACGTTTGCTTTTTGGTAAAATAACAGATGAATCAGCAGGACTGGAGCCTAAAAAATATTATATGATGTGATCTCCAAATAATTATACATGGATTAAGTATTATATATTTAAACTAGCTGTAAGTGGAATTCTGTCTTGAGGCAATTAAGGCATCGTGCCTTAAGGCAAATTGCTGGAACATCCCGTAACAAAAAATTATTATTTTTTTAAAAACGATCAACATTTTTGAAAAAAATTTACTTTGAAAAAATAAGATTTTTGAGAAACTATAAATTGGACAAAAAATTACTTTTTTTTTAAAAAAATTTTTTTTACAATCGTACTGCTTTAACTGCATAGAGACAAAATATAAAGCGCGTAAGCGCCGCGTCGCTGTCTAACGCATAAGCATTGGTACGGAACCCATAGGAATGTTAACAAAATTTATACTTATTGTTAAAATCTCTATAAAATATCTGATAATTTGATGTGCATATGTCTAATGATCATTTTTGACCGCCAAATGGCTCATTTTTTCACTTTTTCCTCCATATCTCCGAAACCGCTAGACCTACGTTCATGAAAATTTGATCGATTCTTCATCTTGTCAATACAAGTGAAATGTTTTTTGAATTATTCAAATCGGACGCTCCGTTCTCTTAAAAACTGAGTTACCGTTTTCGGCACTTTTTGCCCCATATCTTCGGAACGGCTAGATCTGCCTTCGCCAAAAACTAATCAGCACGTCTCCTTATCAATACGAATCGAATGTTTTTTGAATTATTCAAATCGATTGACCCGTGTTCCCGAAATCGTCGACGAAAAATTTGTATCCGCACATACATACACACACACACGCACGCACACACACACACACATCCATTTTTTCTAAGGTATGCCAAAATGTTCAGAAACCTTTAAAACGTAAAGATATATAAAAATTTTCATTTTCGATTTTTTTGCGATTACTATAACTAGCCCTACAGAAGTTAAAAATCCACAAAAATTACACAAAAACTAAAAGCAAATAATTAAATTTAATGGATTTGTAGACTTCATATTAATATCAATGAAATATTATACCTGCACTAAAACCTTTATAATAACCTCCTGAGATATTATCATTATTACATTGACTATAAAATCGTAATCTCTTGATATGTTCAGCAAAATTCTTCATAGATCTAAAATGTTTAGTAATATTATGAAAGATATATAACAAATTCAGGGAATGAAAACCAGAATAATTAATATACCGTGAATTTGGAACATGCAATCCTCCAGAAGTGCAAGTCGTACAAGAAGCAGGTATACAGTCAACAAACTGATCTTCTTGATTTACGTTCTCCTAAGAAATAAACAACAAAGTTCTTAAATCTATGTTTATTTTATAAATAATTTTGAAATTTTATGATTTACCTCAGTCAGATCATTTTCCCCAGAATTATTAATAGTATCTTTTTCTGACATATTAGAGAAATCTAAATTGTCTACTGAGAACTCCTAAAAAATAATTATTTCAGTAAACAATAAAACAAAAATGCAATTTATCAATAATAGAATTTGATTTAATATTTACCGAAGTATTTTGGGCAGCATCAGAAGTTGTGATGTTATTGTGAAAGGCATCTGAATGTGATGAAACTCGCATAGGACTAAATTAGAGATTTGAAAATACAAATGAGATATTATTAAAAACTTATAAGAAAAAAATGACTGTTAATTATTTTTGTGTTAAAAGAGAATTACAATAGAATTTCAATTATGAAGATTCCAAAACCAAGTAAAAATGCTAATAAATCTAATTTGGAGAATAAATTCTGTTAATTATAATTCACACTTAATTTTAAAAAATCAAAGCAATATTTACCTAGTAGGATTTGTATATCTGAATAAACTAGCATTATTTTCTAACTGTGACTGAAAAAGAAAAATAAATTATTTTGTAGAATAGAATATTATATTCTACAAAATATAAACACTTACTTGAGATCTATCTGATATGACACGAGTTAACTTTTGGAAAGATGTTGATGAAGTTTCTATATCTGTAGGATCAGGATACCTAAAAATATAATTACATGTCTAAACACAAATAGTGATTAATTATATATGTGTAATGCATTCTAAAATATGCATGAGCACAAAATGGTCTGTAAATATATATTATCCATTACATGGGCATTTTATATTTTAATACCTGAACAATGAAGGATCCTTTCTCATTGGACTGGATGGTTGAGATGAATTTAAAGATTGGTTAGCACTAACACTTGATGTAAGTAACTTAGTGTTTAAAGCTCTTGCAACTGTAGAACTTGGAGGTATTGGCCTAATGCGCATATCCTATACAAAGTTAAATAAATTTAATATAGTTTCAGTAAATCATTTATGTTTATCATAACTTTAGCTAACCCTTAGTGGTGTGCTTTCAGGAGTAGCTTCTATTGCAGCCTCTGGTGGAGATGCTCCTTCTTGCCCATCATTTTTTAAGAGATTTGTGTTGATGTTTGATGCCATCAATGAAGGTGTTATATTTGGTGTATAACTCTATAATAAAAATACTATGTATTTTTCTGAATATTTAGGATGTTTGAGATAATTGGATTCACCAAACTTACGTGTGTATTGGGAACAGGAGTGGGTGTCTGAGGTGGCGTTGTAGGAGGGCATGTGAAACTTGGACTCCAAAATTCTTTGTTTTCAGATATGCGATCAACCTATGTATTAAATGTCATAAAATTATATAATGGAAATTAATGGAACATCAATAAAATTAATTAAGCATCAAGATTGTGTCCCAAAAGAATTTATATACAAAATCTGGATGCAAATAAAAAATAATAAATATTAAATGTAATACTGGGTTTTATAAAGAATATAATTATGACTGTTTGTTACTGACCATCTTTGAAGCATGGAAATCTTGACTAGTGATGATATGGCTTCTTGATAAATTCGAGTTTTCTAAAATAAAATCAACAGTATAACAATAACACTTGCAAATCTGTTAGAATATAATTCTTTTACCAAAATTTATTGAAGAACAATCAATATGTTTTGAATTAGATCCAATATATTCTTGGTTATCAGGTCTTTCAATATTTTCTAACATTACTCGAGAACATTCAACTACTACATCATGAACTTCCATATTTTTCCATCTAAAAACCATATTCAAAATAATAGGATTTATATAGGACAATATTTTTTAATATATCATATTTTAAGTTATACAACTTGAAATGAAATATTTCATAAATTGTTATTACAATTTTGGGATTAAAACTTAAATCATGAATATCTAACCGTGAATTATCAGTTTCTCTTTCCTTGCTGGTGGTAATAAGCAAAGGGTGCATTTTTACAGTCTCTAATAATGGCTGAAAATATTATTTATACATGAAATATTTGTATATAAATGTATTTATATCTATTAATAATTGATTACCTTAATAGTATGGCCAAAAATTACACTTTGATCCCGACTGCTATACTTGTTTTTCAAATATGAAACAAAATTGCATGGAAACATTCCATAAAGTCGATGAAAAAGAGCATACAAACCAACCTAATAAAATTATAAATAATAGAGATTATATAATTTATTCTTGTTTTCATAAATACACAATAGAACTTATATAAAAAGTTAAAAGAATCAAAGTTATTACTAAATGTAGAAAATGAATATTTTTACCTGCAAATGTATAAGCTGATCTTCAGGCAATTTAGTTGTATTATTTCCCTTCCATGCTGCCAAACGACTGCAAAAATAACAAAACTCAGCCAAAATCTTATGTTAATGATTTCAGCAAACATGAAATTAGATTTTACCTGAATACTTCAAATATATCCATAAGAAAAGGTGATATCAAAGAAGGAACCATGGGTAATAAAGCTATTATGCACAGAAGAGCACTCATAAATGGCACAATATCGGTCTCCACCTTAAAATTTCAGAGTAGTTTTAAATATACATAATCTGATTGTAAAATGATACAATGATAAAAAAAGCTAAGCAACTCGATCAATAATAAGAATAATTTCAAACAGTAGTTATTATAAAAGTTTTAAAATGGTATACAATATAATTTGAGCCAGGAAATGAAATTGATGAATAGCAAATAGAAGTCGTATTATCATAAAAATTGAATATCCAAATTCTGAGAAAAACAGCAAAGTGCATATACATTAGCTAAATGAACATAATTCTAAATAAGAATGTGTTACGCATAATATAAAAATATTGAAGTTAGTATGGCTTTAAATCTCATTTTAAAACAGATAATATTTAGTGTTTTAAGAATTATGTTATATTAGCTAGATACATTATTAAAATAATTTACCTTAAGTAATTTCAGAGTTTCTTTGAACAAATTATGTTGCATAATATGATAGAGCCATGTTGGTTGACGTCGAACAATAATTCCTAAGATATCTAATCCTTTCTGTTTATTAGAACTTTTAATCAAATCTAAAATTCTGCAAACCAATTCAAATATTATAAACCAGTTCAAAATATACGTTAGGCTTTTTAATATTAAAAAATTACACACTCACCGATCGAAAATAAATCTATCATGAGGAGACTGTACTTTTAACAAAACATCTACAACTCTTACAGAATTTGTTTGCAAATAATAATCTATCAAAAATGTAACTAGCCATGATTCTTTTGCTGTAAAAGATATATGAATAAAATATGCACATTGTACAATATTTGTTACTAATAATAAATGAACATACTTTTATTAAAATAATCTGCAAACTGCTTCTTGACATCTTCTACCACTTGGAGATTATCTGATTCTAAGGAATTAAATAATTCTTCCATCTCCATAACGAGATGTTTTGTGTAACAAATTAATAGAAACTTTTGTTTCCTTTGTTATAGCCACTACATTGTTGTAAAATCTAAGAAATTATAATAAAAATATCACATTTAAGGTTAATACACCTAATATGACTTTTGCTAATCCAGAAACACATATGGCCAAAGCTGTCAAATTGCAGAACGGTCGTAGGGAACAGATACAAGTTAAATGGGAGTGGAAACTATACTATGGTAAATAGAACAACAGAAAATATGTGTATTTGCAGAAAATGCGGGAAATTCAAAAAATTTTAATAATAAATAATATTAAAAAGGCGTAAGTGGCATTTTGTCTTCTAGGAAGTGGCATAACCATTCCGAATATGTTAATAATCGAGATAATAAATACTAAGAGAGAGATAAAGGCACTTTCAAAATTATAATGATAAATTTTGAACATTTGACATGGTCCATTATTCCAAACTTTGGGATCTCCATTAATCACATAATCGCTTTTTAAAAATTTTCGGACACCTCTTCTTGGTGATATTTAGATTTAACCACCTCCCTCACTCAAAATCACGTGTATTTTTGGTACCTAAGAAAAAAAAGTAAAATTTTTAGATTTTTTTTTGGAAAATTTTGGATTGTTTTTTAAAATTTAGGAACACGTAATATTTTACATAAACGTAATATTTTACTAGACCCATCCTATTTCTCGTGCTGTTTACAGATTTTTGGTTAGACCCCTTGCCTACCCCTCTTTTAAACATTGCATGCTTATTAGACGGCCCTTTTGGTGAATTTTTATAATTGAACCATTTGTCAAAGGCTCATAATATTTTAGATTATCACATAAGGCAATAAACCATACCCTCATGCAAAGTTTCACTCGTTTTTATCAATCTTATTTATAATAAAAAAAAAATCAGCCTCTGATAGCATTTGAGTTCAATCTGAGCTTTTTGAGCTCATTTTCATCTGATAGCTTTTGAACAGATTTTGAATTTTAAAAAACTGTTCGAGGTTTTTGTCTAAAATGTGAACAAAAATTCTACACACTTGTGTTTATTCTATGAACTATGTATAATACATAATCTGCTTACATACTTGGACTTGAGATCTATTACCTCGAGTAGAAATTTAATATCATGCTGCTTGATATCGAGTTTAGACGAGGTTTGGATCGAATTGCAGACCAGTTGGTCACAGCTGGCTTTATAAACAAATAAATAAACGTATATTATGATACATCGAGTGTTTTTGCCTTCTGATCAAAATCCCCTATTAAGTCACATTGGATGGGACACATATTTGAACTCAAAATCTATAACATCAAGTGAAAATTTAATTTCATACTGCTTGATATCAAGTTTGGACGAGGTTTGGATCAAAACTAGAAGTAGTTGGTCACAGCTGAGTCTAAAAACAAATAAATTAACGTATATTATGATACATCGAGAGTTTCTGTCTTCTAATCCAAATTCCCTATTAAGTCACATATATAAGATGGGACATATATCTGGGCTCAAGATCTATAACTTGAAGTAAAAATATAATTTCATACTGTTTGATAGCGAGCAGTGACGACGTTTAGATCAAACCTAGAACTAATTGTTCACGGTTGACTCTATAAAGAAATAAATAAATACACTAGGAGTTTACGTCTTCTAATACAAATCTTCTATAAAGTCACATTGGATAAATTTAACAAACAGATTGAACAAGTAAGTTCTGTCCTGTTAATAGACTATAAAAGATTAATCGGTTGTTTGAACATGTAGATTTAACATAATCATTTATATGTAATAACAAAAATTATGAGATAAAAAATATCCTTTTAATTGTTATTAAAGTAACAATAAAAAAATGTGATGCATTAAGTCAGTGGATTCCAACCTTCTTGGAACGCGCTTCCCAAATAAACATAAAAAATATTTATTTATTCACAGGTTGGAAACCACGGCATTAACTCGACAAATTCGAATGTATAAATTCATTCTATTCCCACCACTAGTTGAGAAAACATCAGTGACAGTGATCTTGCGTTAACCTGATGACACTCTCATTTTTATTTTAACACTGCTGGATCAAAGTCTTATACGAAAAGAATAGTTTAATTCATATATTTATTTTAAAATTTCGATAGTTAATTCAATATAATTTATTCAAATTTATTTTGTATACATATTTGCGGAAAACACGTGTTCACTTGTTAAATTTCTTATAGTGGTATTGCTTAAATTGCTACAGTGTGAGTGTAGAACCAGATTGAACGGAAAAAATAATTTATTGAATTTAAAAATAAACAAAACAGGAACAATATACAAGAATAAGAATGTAAGTATTTTAATTAATTAAAATTATTAGATGTATAATACTAAAAATTTATATTAGAAATTTTTTGCAATAATTATTATATAAATATTATATAAAATGAATTTTATATTTTTTTAAATATTTTTTTTATTAAATTGTGATTTGGTTAATTATTATTAAAAAAATTATATCAATAATAATTCGAACCTGTGCGTGGTTTATTATGAGATGTGGTATAAGATAACATAATAAACAATTGTTTATTTGAACCAAAGTTCTTCTCTTATTCTTAAATAATTGCATGAAACACTTATTTTTATTAAGTATAAATAACATACTAATTGATTTTATATTAATTACATTTTTGTAAAATTTTATAGAAATTACTAATTCAGTAATTGCTAAAATCATATAAGACACAATAAATTAGCCTGCGCATAAAATACAAATGAAATTTATTCTGTTAACAAAAAGTAAAAATATATAAAAATTGTTTGAATTTCTGATAAATATTAGAGTGTTTAACATTGAATATTAATCAGATATAAATATTACTATCATAGGAGTCGGAATTTAAAATTCTTTCGGAACAGTATTTATATTAAAACCAAGTGGTTTTGGAATCCGTTGTTTAGATTAAAAATTTAACACATACACACATACATATATATATATATATATATATATATATGTGTGTGTATATAATAAATAATATAATATAATAATATATAAGAAATAAATATGTAACAAGTAGTTCGCAAAAATCTAAAATATTTTACCTTGCATCCGATTCAGTTTTAAATTTGACTGTACTGTTATAAAATTATATTTATAAGTCTCTAGTTGTATTGAAATGATTTCAAAATATTTTTTTTATCACATAGCTTCAGATAAATGTAAAAACGTTCACTCATACATTTAAATTGATGTATTCAAGAACAATTACTCATAAGGTATTATTCATAATGGAAATGCTTTTTATTTCTACAATACAAATCGTGATTGCATGCAATTTAATGCAGTTTAGATAGACGGATATATATATATATATATATATATATATATATATATATATATATATATTATTGTACTGATAGTTATAATAGAAAAAAATATGCTATAATCTCGACAAATATTTTGTGTTTTCATCATTTGCATTTAACTATAGTAGTTCTTCTAGTAGTTTGTAGAAAAATTTTCTACCAAATGCTGAATGATGGCACATATCAAGTGTCAAAACGTACAAATATATAATTGCATATATGAATCTTTTTTAATTCGACGTTTTGCCAGTGTAATAAATAAATGCAAACACACAGGGAAGGTCCTGCTTTGAATGCGATGCATGCAAAAAATGCGGGCGCACGCCTTAGGGGGTTAACGAGATTTGGGATTGAATTTTATAATTTTCAATTTATTCTAAATAATTCAAATTTTCTATATCATTCAAAAATTATATAATTACTTTGCATATGTTACTAATCTTGGACAATATTTTTTAAATTTAACTTTAAAACACTTCGGCCCATACTATATTAATTAGGAGAAGTTTACGATGCAATTTTAGATATTTTAAATATTGAAAAATTAAATTAAAATAATCCAACATGAAGTACCATAGTATATTTAATAATGAGAGGATTTTTTTTTGCTCTCGATGATTTGCTCAATAGAATTAATCGCATAAAATTCCCAAAATAAATAAGTAAACTGTAAGTAAATATTAATATTACACATGCGTTAGAAATAAATGAAAATTTAGAAAAATTCTTGCAAGCAATAATGAACATACTGAAATTTTTGGATGTCCGAAAAAGTTTGGATTGAAAATAAGAATTTAAAAATAGTTCTGAAGTGCGACAACGATAGAAGCTGATAGTTTTTTTGAGGTGAAAACATATTTGAAAAAACAAGCCCATTCATAAAAACAATACATAAGTTGAGAAAAAAGAATTATTTTCATTAAAATACGTTTCGACACTTCATGTTTGTCATCATTCAGTAATCACCAGGTTAAAAGTATGAAACTTAATAATCATCATCTTAATAAAATTAATTTTTTTTACGAAATTTAACACAAAAACATAATTATTAGAAAACCAATGTTTTTGTCACTTATACGGGTAGTTTGATTTTTTGCTCCATTGTGCATTTAAATAATATAATTGTCCTTTTTCTAATAATTATAGTTTTGTATTTAATTCCATCAAAAAAATAAAACTTTCAAACTTGGAATGATGACACACATCAAGTGTCGAAACATATAATTAAGAAACTTATTTTTTTCTAACTAATTTTTTATTTTGACGAATGGGCAGTTATAGCATTTTTTCAAATATATATATATATATATATATATATATATATATATATATATATATCCAGGACAATTTAAAATTCTAAGCATGCACATTAAATATTCAAGTCGTTATATTGATATTTCTAACAAATCCATTCAAGACAAATAATCATGCTAACCATACATATTTATTGGTTATTGATTGTCTATAAATATAATTGTCATTAAATAATATATTTGATAAATAAGATAAGACTACTATTGGAAAATTCTAAACATGGATATAAATTAAAAGAATTTAAATAATTTTTTTCCATTTTTCTCGGTACTGGCTGGTTTCAATTTTTGTAATCATAAAATACTTGAAATCGATTTCCTAATAAATTAATCCACAGAACAATTGATTTTAAAATTTTATATCAAATTATATCAATCAAAATATTTATTGCCTATCGTTACTATCTTCTCAAATTTCTAAAGACATATTCTACATATTTACTATTATGAATTGTGGATTTATAATTTATGGTTTATATTTTAACGCAAACTTCCATTGTTTCTAATATTTAAGTATAAATATTGAAATTATAATTCAAAATGTATTATAATTGTTCATTGTTCTCGAATGGTAAGCTGATCCGCAAAAATTTCCATTGAAATATCAACTTACTAAAGATATGTAATCATCAATCTTTGTTTAATAAATATACTCTAAAATTCTAGGAGTTTAAATTATGATTTTAAGAACGCTAGTGATTTGGTTGGTAAAAATATTTTAAATGTTTTAGTAATTTAATATATGGACTGTACATTAAATCTAAATATTTATATACATTTCTCAAATAGATTAAAGAATTTCAGCAGCGAAAACAAATTTGGCATGTGATATATTATAAATAAAAACATATAATACTATTCCAACATTAAAATAATAAATTAAATTAAATTAAATTTTTTAAATAAATAATATTAAATTAAAGTTCACTAATTAGATATGTCTAACCAACTATTCGTCTAACATTAATCGTTTATCGATTTTATTACAGAAATAAAACATGGATAATATGAGACAGTTACCAAAAATTTCATTTCATGACATATCGCCGTTTGAATATAAAGAAATTATGTCATTCCTAATGCAACATTACTACCCTGAAGAAATTCTAACAGTTTCAATTCAACCCAAAGAACCAACAACACCAGATATAGAATTTACCATGGAAGCCATCCAAGAAGGTTATTCTGTTAAAGCCATCATCACATGTGAAGATGAAGATTGTGATGGTGGAGAAGAAATAATTAATGATAAAGTAGGTGAGCATTCGTACAGAAAAACTTTAGTATTTGTATCTTAAAATAAATAAATATAAATTTTACTTGTTTCTCATCTGTACTACTAATACTAATCTCAATATTTCCGATATTGGTCCCATATACCCTAACCATGTCCTATGGATTTCCAACCAATATTTAACCATTGTTACTAAAAGTATCATTTTATGTGGGTATTTTGTTTACATTTTGTCATTTTTCAACAACGATCAGAGAAACGTGTTTTAGGAGCTGTGTTTGCTAACCTAATTATTTTCTCTTGAGGGCAACCCAGCGGTCAACCTCTCTTGGATTATTATTTATTGCTTGGCGTATGTGTTGCAGCAATGCCGACGAAATGCGATTTTTATTTGAGATATAACGTCAAGCGCAAATTTGATATCATACTGCTTGATACCAAGCTGACCCAAGAAGGTTGGGATCGAACCCAGAACTAGTTTGTGCTAGGTCACGTTCCTAATCATTACATCACGATAAATACGAAGAGTTTGTTGCTTTCGTATATGCATATAAAAAATCCACTTTTTGGTTTTGAGTTTGAAAATATTTGTACATCTGTCGTGGACCACAAAAACCACAAACGCACATGTGGTTAGTTCAAATCTAATAGATATATTTATTTCTTTTGTTAAAACAACATATTGAATATATTTTTAATATACTTGAAACGAAAAATATTTAATTTAAAATGTGATGTTTTGCCCAACGCTCTAAACATAGTTTGAACATTGATATTTAAAAACATCTCTTTATATATGGTTCCTTAATTTAGTATTGAATTGGAGTAATGAAAATTCTTTATATAATAATAGAAATATGGTACATTATAAATACAGTACGGCATGAAGTAGAACTCCCACTTTACTATTTTAGTATAGTATAAAAGTACTATGCCTAATTTCCACTAGTTGTTCTGAATTATTACATTCATCTAACTTTGTATCATCACTTATCTTAATGCTTGCTAACAAATTCAATTATTAGACTAATATTATTCGAACAGAGAATTTGACAATTCAAGTAGATACATGTACAATTGTGGATGAAACGAAGAAGGTCATACAATACAAAAATGGTATTTTATCAGCAGATCCATCAACTAATATTAATTTAGTAAATGAATCAAATTCACGATCCAAGAAAGAAATAATTGTAGGAGTCGCTATCAATGGTTCTATTGAACCTGATGATGCCAAAATTATGTTAGAAGAAGCTGATAAGTGCGAAGATGGGAAATGGTCAACTATATTAAGGTAAATATAATAATAAAAATAATATATATGAGTGTTTGTGTAATTAAGGGTGAGTTATCTTTTACCTGGCAGGTTTTTGGCAGAGTTGGAGCGAGATGCAGATGTCTGCAAAAGATTTCGTGCTGAGCGCGGCCTTCACACTCACGTCATGGCCGTGCATCCTGATTATAGGGGCCTAGGCATAGGTTAGCCACATAATGTATTAATTTATAATTAGGAAAAATGCTTCAAAAATTTAAAAATTTATTAATGTTTGGCACGACATCAAAGACCGATGATGTGACTCCAAAAAGAAATAAATCGTGGCCAGAACGTGGTTGAATCGTGGCCCAAACGTGGTTGAATCGTGGCACAATTTAAATATTGTGTCAATATTACCAATATTGCGCCAATATTACTAAAATAGAGCCAAGTGAAAATTAAATTTTAAATAGTTTTTTAATTACCGACAAAATGGTTTCCATTGCCTTTTACATATTCAGAATTTTTGCCGAAAATCAACTAAATTTCACCGCAATCTTATTCTATTATTCAGGCGTATGAGTTTGCTTTATATACTATGATTTATTCAAAGTAAACGCTCAATTAAAATGGTGTGGTTATATTAAGCCAATGATTTTATGATAGGTACTTTGCTATTAGAAGCATCAGCATTACGAGCTAAAAATTCACGATTTGGTGTGTACAGCGTGGATTGCACCAGCGCCTATTCTACAAGAGCTGCACAACGATGCTCAGGATTGACCGCCTTAAGATCTGTCAGGTAATAAAAGAATAATTTGAAAAATGGTTACCATTACGCAATAGTCAACAAGGGTATAAAATACTCTTAGATCACACAATCGAGGTATTTTGTGGTCTGAAATTAAAATTAATTTTATTTCTGTATTTCCTTTTTAAATATGTAACTAGGAGCAACAAGTCAATACACATTGACCTAATGTATAATTTACGATTTATTTATGAGAATATTTGTTATACCCTCCTGATGACCTTCGTTTTCTATATAAAGCCGCGACGTACAGAATATGTAAAAAAATCAATATTTGGTAAATATGATATATGTGTCATCAAAACTAAACGCTTAAAAATCCGAAAGACGATTATATATATTCAAAAAGTATACTAGTACTATTTAGTAATATTCACAAATTTTTTTGAAAAACTTAGGATCGTAAGAGCGATCAGAATATTTTAAAAATATATAGAAATTATTTAGGAACAGATAATATGATCGTTGCATGTCAAGTTCTACTGATTGCAAATATCAACAAGTGCAAATTATTTGAAACGTTGGGAATCAATGCATAATAGAAATTTTTCCAAACACGCGTACTACATATAAAAAAAAATTCCAATAACACCAGTGCCAAAATATAGTAAGGCAAAGTGAAGATCTGTGTCATTTAGAATGTTTTTGTTATTTTAGATATGAAGATTACAAGAATTCCAAAGGCGAACAAGTATTTAAACCTCAAGATCCAGTATTACACCACTCTGTTACTACATTTGTACAAAATTTTGGAATACCAGAAATAGCTTAATTTGCACTTTTAGTAAAATTTTAATTATTTACTCATAGTTAGCATCACACCATATCATATTATTTAATTAATACTTAATATACTACTTCATAGAAAACCAATAACGTAGCTTTATTTCTAATTAATTCTTGTTTGATACATTTATTCCAGATCGTTTCCCCATTTGGATTCGTTAGAATAAGACAAAAATCAAATTTGATATAAAGTTAAACATGGAAATATTTAGAAATAAATTAAATCAGTTCTAAATAAAGCTAATCAACATTGCGTGAATCACCGTACAAGTTCTAATGAGTAATAATTAGCGCTTGTTAAATTAGTGCGCATTTTGTTTATTTGTGTTATGTGCTTTGCCTATGTTATGTCTTCGATAACTAGGTCAAAAAACAAAAATTGCAACTAATTACGACCAAGGATTTTACTAGAAACTTTGTAAATTTATTGCACATATTTTTTGTTTCGAAAACATAAAAGAAATTTACTTGAAGCTATTATTTTTTATTTAAAAATCAAAATACCAAAATATGGTAATCATTATGGGACGAAATCATCAAACAAGATTGCCATTACAGCATATATGAGATCTAAAAAAATCTTTTACCGAGGATTACGAATTTTAGTATCTTCGATTTTCTAACTGAATAAAAATAACAAGAAAACAAGATCTGGCACCATAGTCTCAACTTTTTCCAAGCTCTCCCAAGTGCACATGTTCACTTTTTCAAACCATTTCTTGCTAATTAGTCAAACTTTAAGTGAACAGTAAGAGCACTAAGATTAATTTAACATGCATAAATTTATTCTCATAAAATTTACATTACCAACTTAATAAATGAAGTAACAATTAAAAATATTTTAACTCACAAAATAACTATGTGCAACAAATTTAACATCACTGAATTGGGTCGTGCACTACGACAGTGCACTCGAACTCTCCTTCTTCAGGACAGGCGTTCAACCTTTCGAGAGGAGGACAAAGATAATGCCGCAAGTTCCTTGGCATTACCATTCCATGCTGTTTTGTGCTTACTGTGAATAAATAATTTAACAACTCTTGTTGAATTTCGTTAGGCACTCGTTCACCAATTCCAGGAATCGCGGGTATCTGAAACAAAAACCAATTTTGGTCCAAGGTAAAGGTCACGGTAAAGGAAATATTATTCTTTAAAAATCCCACTTTGTAACTTTATGTTTCCTGAACGTTTCAAGTAATTTTTCTAAAGCATGTGTGTATGTGACTTTCCGTTGACGTTTTTTCGAAAACGCCTGTACAGATTAAAAAAATTTAAAAGTCCCATGTAACTCTATAGAGATTTGCGTTGAAAAGTTTGGACTAATCGGCGCCTACAGAAAATATTACCAAAATTTGAAAACAAACACTATTATCTCTTTACCTCTACTATTTCTCTGCCTTTTCTCATCTTTCTGTAATCTCGTTGTGGAGCTTTTCCCGTTACTTTGGCCAATTCAGCAATATCTCCATCTGATGTAATACTAGACCTAGATTCGTCTTCTAAACAAGTACAAACACCTCCAGTTTCTGATTCACGATAACGATATGGATACTGATCTTCACCCAAAACACTTTCCTGTTCCAGTGCATCACGTTGTTCAGGAATAGATACCTCACTGCCTTTTGGAGCTGACAGTAAAACAAAAGAATTATATGTAAATCGAATAGCTGGTTTGTGATAACATTAGCAATAGAAGAAATTATAGTCGGCAAGATTATTTACTTGCTGTAAAAATAAGAAATTATCATGATTAAATTAGGTTATTGGTTTTCTGATCATGCATTGCACAACTTATTAGATTAAAGACTAACATTTTTGATCAAGATCTGGTAGAGAGATCTCTTGCTCTTGTGATTCTTCTTTTTTAGGAGGTGATTTCGTATAATCATCGGAACCGTCATCAGAAATTTCTGGAACAGCAGCTTGCAAAGGCTCTTCCGTTTCTTCTATCTGGAAATCATAAAAATTAAATAATTAACTAATTATCTTAAGTAATTTCTTTTTATTGCTAAAACAGTTAATTATCAACGTCTCTTGATGTGGAATAATTACTTTTTATAATATGTGATATATTTAAAAGAACAGGAAGGAATTTTCTTTTGAATCAAAGGTACCTTCTGTTCTGAGCTGACTTGAGCATCTTCTTTTTCGACAGACAGTAAACCTTCATCATGTAACATCAAATCACTTGGTAATTCAAGATCCTCTCTTTGTACAGCACCTTCTTCGTCTGCATATTTCATGGTTGCTATATCTGATTTTGCATCACTCTCGTTCTGACAAATATTTCAAGTATAATTATATAAAATATATTGATTTAATTCTAATTTAAAATCTTTGTACAATAAGGTAAAATAATTTGTGAAAATTTTATTACCTCAATTTCTTTAGATCCTTTTTCAGTTTCCGTTGTCAAACCGATAATAATCTCTGTAAGAAAATATTTGTCAATATCGAAATGGCGAGGAGGTATCAAACTTTTTCAAATATTAGACCTTCTTGCGATTCCATCTTTGTAATTATCATTAGTTCTTCACTATCAACAATTTTTAAATCAGGTTTTTTAACATCCTCATCATGATCAATCACTTCTGTAACCATATCTTCTCCTGGTGGAACGTAAAAGTCCTCAGCATCATCAGCTGGGGGCTAATTGGATTAAAAGTATAATTGAAAGTATACTTTCGTATACTTTAAGCTTTAGAAATTATAATTATAATAATCGGCAGCATTCAAAATACTTTATGAAGTATGAAAAATCTTTTCCAGTTCATTACCTTGTCAGGTCTTTTAACTATTTTTTCGGCATCGGCAGAGGAAATGCTAGTAGCAGATGCCGATGATTCAGGCCCATCATTTGGTTTCTCTTCAGGAGCTATAGGATCACTTTTTGAAGGAACACGACTTCCATTTCGATATATTTGTTTTCTAGAGCAATCCAAGGATGCTAAAAATTTGTATAATTGCTTAAAACGCCAAAGAGGTATCATTGCGCTGCCGCCTTCTGGCTCCTCAGTTAGCAGTTGGCAAATCATGATCATGGTATGGGTCAGTGACTAGAAAAAGATGATCTTGAATCAACTTATTACACAAAAAACTGATATACAAGGCGCAGAACGATTTTTCAAGCATAAAAAGCTGTTATCCAAGTGTTGTTAAATTAAAACAGGAACATCGATTCCAAATACAAATAGATGGTGCTAAGATAGGCATAAGTAACATAATATTTTAGTAATGACTTCCTACCTTATTTAAAAAACCAACAGCAATAGCAAAAAAATGCATCCAATGTACACTCGTATCATGAAACATATTTCCAATCATCAGCATTTTATCAAGTTCGAACTCACATAAGCAAATGCCCAACCAGCGAGTAAATAGTTCTGCACGATCTATATGCTCAGAAGTTCCAAACTGAAACAGGAAACCCAGTGTTATTTATTATCATCATACAAACTGGATAATTATTACCTGTTTTAGAAGCACTTTTAAATAGCCAGGTGTAAGTCCACATTGTGCAACAGTTGGAGGTATTTCGATTCTGGTTTTGGCAGGAGGCACGTTGCCTTGGGCCAAACAACGAAAATAAGCAGCAGACCATCGCAACAAATCAAAAGGCTGAGTTCTTATTGCATCTAGAAGAAAACTATATTTAATCAACAATTTTCCTTACAATTAAATAAAATCAAAGTCTTATTTCAAATTTTGGCGCGTCATAAAATCAATGGCAAGTTATTGTACACGAAAAGTGTTTCAAATTGATCTAAAAAGTGCATTTAAAACTTAAAATTTAGAATATAATATTTGACCAATACTTATTAAAGAGTATTTTATTTGAAATGATCAATTCAGCTGTATAAATAATTTAATTACTAAATTACATAACTTTACCTTTGGCATAAGCCTTCAAAAGATGAGGAAACCTTGGCGGTACAAAGATTTGCTGAGAGCAATACAATTGTTCAGGCGGCCCATTCATTTTGGCAGTATTTGTAACATATTAAATATAACTTTATAAAAAAATAAATTGATAAAATGACACACGTGTCAGAAAAATTTTGAGTTTGTACTGTTTATATATTCTGTTGCCATGGTGAGCGATAGATTTTATAGCTGCATTACGAGGAGTATGATAGTAAATAGATTTAAAGGAATAAATATAGTTTTATATAATATTTGAAAATTTTAATTGTAATGTAATTTGTAACCGAAGTGAGCAATTTTCTTATAAAAAAAATATTGTAGTTTTGGAAAATATTCCATCTGCAATGCTTTTTTTCAGAACAATGCGGTACCTATATGGATTTTTCATTTTCAATTCAAATTTTTAAAATAAATCAAATTTTGAACAAGTAACCAATATTTATTTAACGATGTACAAAATTGTATATGGTGGCATTCAGTTCGAACGTTTTTGCTGATTATACGAACGAAAATTGTACAAATGTATTCAAATTACACAAAATAAACAGAATTGTCATACAAAATTGATCAAAAAATCTCCCTCAGGGAAAATACTTTTCAAAAAATAATTTCACAGCAATATTGGCATAATTTTAGTTCTAATTGCTCAACCAATATTGGTCTAATATGGGATAAATTTGAGTTTTATATTGGTAAAAAAAGATGTGTGAGAAATGGTTAGTAAAAAAAATATTAATACTATCTAAATGAAGAAAGGTTCGTTTCTACAAATCCTTAATTAAAAATTTTATAATTAAAA